TTGCTGTACCCTTCTCGCGATAAAAATATCTCAGGCAGGAACCGTAGGAGGTGGTCCAGCCCCCCCCTCCTATGTGACCCCGGTTGGATTGTGTAGCTATTAATAGTAGAAGTGAAGGATGGGGACCAGAGGGGCAGACGACAGAGTCCAATAATGAGAGAAAAAAAAAAATCAGACCTGGTACCGACGTCGACATTGCCGGGGTGAAACGCCGAAACAGCTGATGCGGCCGGCCCCTTAGCATGTCAAACCCGAGTTGAACGTTGCTGCTGTCGGTGTCTCGCTTAGCGAACAAGTGTCGAAGCATCCTGTTGATCTCGATCCCTTCTGTGGGAAAAGCGATGGCCCCATGAAGGGGTTGCGCCGCGGTCGGGTGGCCCTGAGAGGTCAGCGCGCGTTGGCAATGATCACAAAAGTCAGGGTGGCGTTGAGACAGGTGGGTGGGAGGCGCAACGAAGCTGGGTCACTCCAGCCGGAGCGCTTCAGCTACGTTGAGTCATCCACCCAGCTGTGGCATCACCAAGCTGTTCTCCGTGAAACACTGTCAACATCCGCTGACCTCTCAGGGCCGCCCGGCCGTGGCGGAACCCCTTCAAGGAGCCATCGCTCTGTGCACAGAAGAGACCGAGATCGACAACGTGCTCTAGCACCTGTTCACCAAGCAAGAAAACGACCACGACAACATTCGCGTGGGCTTCCACATGCTGAGAGTCGCCAACCCCAGCTGTTCAGTCTCTTCACATCGTCCGCAATCGGCATTGCCACCGGTCAAACTGCTGGTGCCGGTGTCTAAGTCCCCTCGCACCCTTTGGCCGCGGACGCCATAGCTCTCACCATCGTCAAGTTAGCAAGGTTTACGGCGACCACCGCCGATGAGGGGATCGCGGATGACGACCGCGATCTGCTCCCCCTGGTATGCCAGCTGATGATATCCCGGGCGCAGCAATATGGCGAACGAAAAAGGGTTTTCAACAGAACTCGGTCTTGGTAATTGTTGCCAATTGTTGCCAAGATCTGTAATACATCCAGGTGGAATCGGAGTAGGACTCGGTAAAAAATCCGCGAACATCTGCACGTTTATTAGGCCTGTCCTCCATCGGCCGTTTTGCTTGTATGACGGAGAATAAGAAGGTGGAATTACTTGAAATTAGTATAGAAATAAAGTTTGTGTATCTAAATCGAAAATAAAACGGCCGATGGAGGACAGGCCTAACGTTTGTACGATCAGGTTTGAATCCTCCGCGCAAGCTACTCGTCTACTCTACTTGAATTGATGATTTCCAGGATTTCGTAGCAAATTCGATCTTCATCACAGTTGATTTCAAACGATGCAAAGAAAAAGAGATTTTAAGTTTTATGACATTTTGTACTTACATGTAAATTCCGGGGGTCTCATTCACGAGATCCCGAAAAGCCGGTAAGTTTGGCTGATATAACAAATGTTTTTCAAGCGTGCTTCAGTTATTTTTTCAACACGCATTTCATGGCATCGTTCAAGGGTGAGGATGGGTCAAGGTGTTGACGATATATGAAACAAGGATATATCAAGTAGTTTTACCGGGATTTGCATCCTAAAACAAACCCGGTATGAACACTCTCGCGACCACAAAATAGTCCGGGTTCAATAAAGTTGCTGTCGTAGCAGAAGTTTAGCTTACCCCAACAACCAAGCTTCTGAACCACCTCGGGCTACTAACGTGTGAAGCATCGTTCGGAGTCGTCGTACACGCAGCGTGCTCTCTCTCACAGCTCGCCCAAGGGTCTGCCAGAACCGTACAGATCGCCAGAAATTTTCAGGTTCAGGTTGATCTTGTGTAGGAGGCTGTTGAGTTCCATCACCTGAGCAAACATCCAACAATTTACATTCTTGTATGCTCTCACCACGTTGACCTGAAAGTTGAACTGCTCACACGCAACTGACTGCGCTTCATAGGAAATATATAAGAAAAACTCACCACACTGGTGAGGCCTAGCGAGCAGTCACCTGCTTCACGGGATCGCAGTCAGTCGTAGGTCATGATCATGAGGGGTTGCTTTGGCATCTCTGTTGTTTATAGTCGCAACCGATTATCTCGTCAGAAGCCAAACGGATCAGCCCCGTCTGTCCCTTGAAACTCGCACTTACTACGTCAACAACCAAAAATTGTGCGGGGGCTTTTTTTGGTCGATTGGTGACGGCACCAGGAGCGGGGCCAGGGTAAGAGCTGCGGAGTCCGGAGATCTCGATCAGTGGACCTGGATAAATGCTCAAAGTATTACAGTTGAGGCCCGCACTTAAGAACCTCCTGGGTTCAGTTTTTATTGGCTGCCCAACTCGAGCACGTGTTCTTCTTGGCCATGTTCTTATTTCGCCGTCCCGTTTTTCTCCAGCGAAATGTTCTTGTTCTTAATTCAACACCAATTGGCCCTGTTGGCGTACGTTGTATGACGACGTACTTTGTTGGCGGCTGTCAACTGCACTCGGCGGAGTGTTTATAGTGTTTAGCATGAGGAACAATGCTGTTGTTTGGTACAAGAATACACCAAGGCATGCAGCAGCAACTGTCAACCATCTTGGTCCACAAGGGTGACGTTGGCCCTGCGTACCCTCCCCGATCTACTAACGCTCTCAAGCAAAACCCAGGAGCCTACCGCCGCATCCAGATCTTCGGTGTACTTCTCTAAGGGCAGCTTCATCTTGCGCGTACTCTGGTCTAGCTCCAGCTGCACACAGTGGTCGTACGGGTGGCGAGTGTCCTGCTGAGATTGCTGAATGATCAACCCTCCAAACCACCCCATCCCCAGCCTAACGAGCCCTCCACGTCGCAAAAGCAAAAACTGTCAAGAGCAACGGGTTTAACTTCTTGAATGCGAAAGCCTGTCGGGATCTCCATTCCTTGTGTCTCGTCCTCCGGGTTTTGTGGGTCCATGCTGTCGTCGTCGTCGAGAAGAGCTAGCTCATCGGTCTGGGTTTGAGACGTGCCTGCGAACGGAGCACCGTGAAACACCACAAGAAGTACGATGTCACGGCCGAAACTCAACATGAACCGATCATATTTGCTCGTAGCCGTGAACGCGGAAACAGCACACCAGCAAAATCCAAGCAAATATCAACATGGGCATCGTCATCAACAAGGAAATGACAAAGATTGGGTCTAGTGCAAATCAAAGTCACCGCCGTCGTCTTCATCATCGCTGGAATCAGCGCCCTCCACGACCGTCTCACGTCCATCGTCCTCCTTCCCGCGCCCCCCAGGCTCATCGCTGCCGTTCTTCAAACCTTCTTCGTCCTCGCTACAGTCTTCATCGTTTGCGAAGGTGTACGGCTTGTCCAAACCCTCCAAGGTGATCCGATCATCGCCTGAGCCGTCCACAGTCATGGCCATCCCGCACTTTTCGAAAAGGCGGAATCGGAACGCCTGCTGGCTGTTGAGTCTTGCCATGGCCGCTTCAATCCACTGAGTGATCAGTACCCGCCGATCAGAAGCTGTCAGCGCCGCGGTTTCCCACCTCTCGAGGTTGTCCGACTGCTCGAGCCACATGTCCATCTGCCTCCCAGCTTCCACCTTGATAAATCGTCCTGCTTTTGCATCAACTGGCTGCACCTCGTCCGTGCACTCCGAAGGGCCATACCAAGCAGAAGTGTTGCACTCCTTCGCAAGATACTCCTTGAAATCGTCCGTCGTCTGCGCGTGCAAGTTGTCCATGATAAAAATGGACCTCGC